AAAAAAACCGACACCAAAAATGATTTTGCAACCCGCAAAAAAAAAAAAAAAGATTTTGCGACCCGCGGCACTTTTTCCTCCCCTTTGCGGGGAAATCCGTGTGAATGTCTGAAAAAAAAGAAAAAAGAAAAAAAATACAAAGGTTTTGTCGAGGGGAGGTTTTATGACTTTTTCCTGCCCCCCCCCCCTCCCCCTCTGCACGATATTCTTACTGAGTAAAAGGCGAAAGAATAGTACGCCGTTTGAGGGCATATTACTCACACCAGCGCTTTCCAAAATGCATCTGACTGCAATTACGGTCATTCCTGGATGAATCTGACCGCAAGCACGCCCAGAGCGTAGTAGAAAAAGTTCTCGGACAGCTTCAACTCGCTTTGATGATTATCGGTTCTCGATTCTCTCGAATGCAATTCGCGTGTGATGGACACTACACGTCGAATACACTCAAAGCAGGCGCAAGGCTGTGAAAAAAAAAAAAAAAAGGCTGGCGCAAGGGCGCACCTGCACGGAATAGGAGCTATTGTCCGTAAATAAGGAACGAAGACCGACGGACAGTATTTGTTTGTTATTTATTTTATTTTATTTTATTTTTTATGTCTTTTGGCCAGTATCTGTTAATTTTGTCGTGCAAGTGGGTCATCTGACAGTATTTTAGTATTTGCTCTCTGTAGGCTGTGCAGAGAAACGGACAGGCCAAAAAAAAAAAAAAAAAAAAAAAAAAAAAAAAAAAAAAAGAAGAAGAAAAAGAAGAAGAAGATGAAGACGACGAAGAAACTGACAGGGGGGTTGTCAACGTGCTCGACCCCTCTGAGGCAGGCCCCCCTTTATGTAGGCCCCCCTTTATGTCCCACATACCCAGATTCTTCGCTTGTGACCGTCGATCTGTGCAATCTACAGAACGGAGAATGCAGGTAAGCAGAGCCTTAGCTCAGCCGACCCTCCTTTCCTGGTTCTGCTCTTCTGCTGCTAACTTCCTCCTTTACTTTTTTTTTTTTTTTTTTTGTGGACGGCTTGCTAATAATGTCTCCCTTCTTGCAGCGTTTCACTCAATTTTTTTTGCTATTTTTTTGCTATATAAGCGGCACGACTGCAATTCTTCGCCATTCACCCGTTTGTGACTACAGATCGACGGACACTCTGAGAGCGTTTCTGTTTTCCGCACGTCCTTCCTCCTTCCTCGCACTTCCCTCACGTACCTTCTAGACTCTCTCTCTCTCTCTCTCTTCTCCTAACACTAGCGAAGATGGGTTGCGGATGCGGACACGCGGGCTGCACTTGCCCCGACTGCAAGTGCAACGGGGGCAGCGGAGCGACATGCTGTGGCAAATGAAGTGACCAATCCGGCTCCCGACCGCCACGGTGAGGTGGGGGGAGTCTGGGGAGAGAGAGAGAGAGAGAGAGACTCTGAGGAAGAAGAGCACGATGGGAGCGCAGATGACGCGGAGGACATCACGGCGATGAACATCGTGGTAAGAATAATCCATGGCAGCGGCAGCAACAGCAGCGGCTATGCCGATGAGCATGGCCACGGCACCTGCGATTTCCATGGCTATGGCTATGGCTATGCCTATGGCGATGGCGATGACGTGGCCACTCTCTTCACTCTCTCACCTTGGTGGTCGGGATCAGCATGCCGGATCAGACAGCGACTATGCATCCGGAAATAACGATGGAGGGGAGGCTTGCCAAGTGTAGGTGTTCCTTGGGAGCTGAACCTGCAGGGTCAAGGGTGGCAACGAGCAGGGGAGCAGACAGCGTGCCATGCTAGATTGCCGTGGCGATAGCTATGGCTGATAGCTATGGCTGATAGCTATGGCTATGGCTATGGCTGACAGCTATGGCTATGGCTATGGCTATGGCTATGGCGATGGCGATGGCGATGGCTATGGCGATGACGACGATGAATTAAGCGAGCTCCCCTTTCTGTTCGTCCGCCGGAAGAGTGCAGATGTCAGTGTGCCACTACGGTAGCTCCCCTTTCAGCGGCCGGCGGAGCCAATTATTGAAGAAGGCGATGGCGGCGATGGCGGTGATGGCGGTGTGCAAGGAAGAGTGGCTATGGCTGTTCGGTGTCGGCAGCCCAATTATGTTAATTAATGAGCACTTCCTGAGGGGGGAGGAGATCGTCAGCTGGTGTGGTTAATTACTAATATACTCTAGACTCTTTGACTACTAATTTTATTATAAGAAAAATATATATATAGATAGATATATATATATAAAAAAGAAAGATGGGGTGAGATACAGCGATTGCTGCGATTGAGAGAAGAATATAGTCGTCCAGTCTTGATTGGCAGTGGCCCGTGGGGTTAATTTATATTTGGCTGCTCAAGGTGCTGATATTACCATCACGGCTTATTGTTGTTGTTGTTGTTGTTCTTTTTCTTTTTTTTTTTTTTTACTGGTTGTAGTTTATTTTCTTGTCCAAGTTGAACCCATTTTGTCCCTAGTCCGGGTTCCGGGTTCTCGGCCTAGGGTGGGGTAACTCTCTTCCTCCGCCGTGATTCAGGTGGTTACCGTACTACCCTTTCTTTCTTGATTAATAAACTGCAACTTGCTTGTCTCTCCTGCACGTGGTCATTTTCCCGTCTTCCTTCATTGCACCCAACCAACCTCGTCCTCCGTTGACGTCCCCAAATCGTACTATCCTCTTCTTCTACTTCTTCTTTCATCTTGCCTCTCATTGTTTCCCTCTCTCTCTCTCTCTCTCTCTCTCTCTCTCTCTCTCTCTCTCTCTCTCTCTCTCTCTCTCTCTCTCTCTCTCAAAATCAGTAATCTTATATACTCTAATCTTTCTTTTTTCTTTGCAACTCTTTCTGATCTAGTATCATCCATCTAATGTACTTATCTATCTATCTATCTATCTATCCATCTATCTATCTATCTATCTATCTGTCCATCTAATCTATCCATCAGTCAATCAATCTATCTATCTATCTATCTCTAGCTATCTATCTATCTATCTATATCGGTCTATCCATTGATGGATCGATCTATTGATCTATGTATCTATCTACCTACCTATCTGTCTAATCTATGCATCTGATTTTTGTAATTGTGTGGGTGGGTGTGCGTGTTGCGTGTGTTTGCGGGTGGGTGGGTAGGTGTGTGTGTCTGGGTGTTCTGTTCAGATTTCAAAACACACGTCGTTGTCGACGAACAGTACTGTCGCCTGTTCGTCACGCTTCATTTCGTCGAGAACGTGTTGCTTGCTTGCTTGCTCTCTTCTATGCTTGAATCAATAGCATGTGAGTGTGCTATCGCTCGAGTTTTTGTATCAAATTGCATGCTATGTGGCAATGTGGCTGAGAAGAGAGCAAGCATTGCCAAGCGGTTTCAACCAACAGTGGAAAATGGGTGATGAATGATGCCTTGCCTTGCTCCATCCTGCTGCAGTGGGTGAACGGTTTGTGTTCGACATCCGCACTGGTGTTCTCAACTTGTGATTGACCTCTTCCAAATAAGTCCAAAAAAAAAAGAAAAAAAAAAAAAGAAGAAGAAGAAGAAGAAGAGATCTCGAGCATGAGTCTTACCCCCCCCCCCCCCCCCCCCCCTCCCCAAAACTCGTCTCACCTTCTTTTTCAAAATACTAAATCCTCTAACAGACATTCGCAAGCAACTGTTTCTTTGTTTCTTTCCTCTCGTTCTTTGGGCATTCAAGCGCATTTTGTTTTTTAGCCTCTGCTTTGTTTTTTTTTGTTTTTTGTTTTTAGCCTCTGCATTCAAGGGTGACTTAACCTTGTGTACGTACACGAGGTTGAGTTGGAGTTCGCCCTACTAGCATTGTATCATCTGTTGCAATTCACTCCTCAATCGAGTTTGTGCAACTTGGTTGTACATTGTTGTTTTTTTTAGCCTCTGCTTTGTTTGTTTTTTTTTTGTTTTTTTTTTTCTTTCCTTCCGCCTATCTGCGTTGGTTCTTCGAGCGTATACTTGTTTGCAGTACAGAAAATGAGCCTACCCTCTTCACCAGAATGGAACGCCAGGTCATTATAGCTGCATTTGGCCCAACTTGCAGTCCAGATGCAGCGATAATGACCGACCCTTCTATTTGGGTGAAGACGGTAGCAGACAGCCCAGCATCAGGTATATGACGACGGGGCTCCTCCTCCTCCTCCTCCTCCTCCTCCTTCTTCTTCTTCTTCTGCTTCTGCTTCTGCTGCTGCGTACTTTCGATATTTGTCGACTCAGCAAGTATTCAGGGCCTCGCCACAGGGTTCTCGAAATGCAAAAAAGAAAAAAATGTGGCTGCTGCATCTGGCCATGTTCTAGTGCGAAGTTCATTTCATTCTCATTTTGCACTTTTTTTTCTTTTTTTCTTTTTTGCACATTTGGAGATTGGTGTGGCGATGCCCTCAATTTGGGAAAAAGTATAACACGTCCCCGGGAGGAAACCTTTGTATTCAAATCGCCCCAACAGGTCTCGCACGACCCAAAATGACTATTTGTGTCATTTTTGGACCCTGGCTGGGCCCGTATTGCCCCCGTTGTGCAAAACTGGTGCGAAAGTGTTTTACAGGGTGCCAAAATGACGCCAAAAGCCATATTGGGGCCTGCGGCACCCTGATCAGGGACCTTGTCCCACTTGCACCGTTTAGTTGAGGCAGCTCAACGGTGCCACAGCTAGTTCTAATTCAATTTCAAATAAAAAAAGGAATTTATAAATGGCAGGGAAAATTTGTCTGGCACCCCTGTAATTTGCGTTATTTCCTGTCGCGCCCCTCCGACGGCCCATTTACCCTGTCGCGCCCCTGGGCCAAAAAAAAATTATGCAGGCCCTTGTCGGTAGTGACCACAACTTTCCAGGACGCCTCCTTGGACTGACGGTCGGGCCCTGTGCCATATGCCCTCATGAAGGGCAGCCATCTTTCTGCTATGCCCCCGCAGCCGTGAGGCACCACAAATTCGCATTTCCATGGGGCCCTGTGCCATATAGTCCGCTTCCCTGCAAGTGTGTGTGTGTGTGTGTGTGTGTGAGAGAGAGAGAAAGGGTGAGTTGGTGACTTCTCTCTCTCTCTCTCTCTCTCTCTCTCTCTCTCTCTCTCTCTCTCTCTCTCTCTCTCTCTCTC